CCTATGTTTTTCTTGAAAGGGAAGGTATCACTAGAAATCTGTTTAGAAATCACTGGAACCAAGTTTCTGAATAAGTCACATAATAAATGTAACAACCACCACCACCACCACAGCCATTTATTTAGTGCTTGCCAGGCACTGTGCTAAAGCTTTACAAACATTGTTTCGGTTAATCCAACCACCCTGAGGTAGATATTTTCAACACCCTTCCCCCTACATTGTCATTATACTTGAGGAAACTGAGGCTCAGAGAAGTTAAGCCAATCAACCAAGGTCAAAACCAGCTGGTAAGTAGCAAAGCTAGAAATCTGAACCAAATATATTTGACTCGAAAATCCATGCTTTTATACATTATGCTAGATTGTTTTCCATTCAAAGTTAAACGATACACGCTCCTTCTCAAAATATTACACAGGCCAGATTTTCTTTTTGTGGGGGGATGGGGGGTAGTTTAACTTCCTTACTCAGACAAGTTAGGAGTGAAGAAAAAGTCTGGGTATGAGCTGACTACTTAACCCTTTCTCCTATTCCCCTAGCTGCCAGGCAGGGCCTTTTTTTCTTTTTTGTCCCATCGAAGACCTCCACTCCTGATATCTAACTACTCAATATCTTGTTTTCCTTTCAGTAACCACTAAAATGCAGAAGTCAGCCAAACCTGGTGACAGGGACTCAAAAACACCTGAGAGAAATAAGGAGACATTCACAAATGGCCATCATTCCTGAACTGCTGGACCCTAAGGCACACAGATGCATTTAGATGGAAACACAAATTTCAGTACTTCCACCCTAGTTTACCAGGCCCAGCCTCATTCTTTCAATGTCCAGACCAACCCCTGTAACTCCTCCCTGTAACGAGTTCTTTACCACTCTCTAGATACTTTTCCCCTAACCCATCTCTGGTGGTCTCACTAACTATAAGCCCCTGGGCCTCAAGGCTGCCATATTGAGGCTTTGCCCCCGAGAACAGCCCCTAAAGTGCTCAGCAGGGCTAGATTCAGGATCCCATGACCTATGAAGATTAAACAGAACTGGCTGAGGACAAGCATAGGACGGGCCCCGACAGCGAGACAAGCTGAACCAGGATGTAAAGAACTGACAAAGGAATGGGAAAATGATATAGCAGACATAGAACAAATGGCAAAATAAACAGAGCTATCCATTAAAGGCCAGAAATCAGAGCTGTCCCAAACATGAACAGGGATGACCCCAGGAAGACAGATCCTAAAGATCAGGTCTGTCCAAACACATATAGCTATGGAGCTTCAGAGTCAGAAGCAAGTGTTTCAAAAAAGGGCTTTGGTGAAGATGTCACTGAGAGCCTGGGTAGGGGGAAGCTGAGTAAGAGAAATTAGAAGGAGCTCTGGAAATGGAAGCTGGAACATCCCTTCAGAATAGGCAGAGTCATCAGAGAAGTATGCAGGGATTGGAGGACAAGCAGTTTGAGGTCCCAGACAAAGGGGAGTAGGACAGTCTGAACTGTCAGGGCCTCTGGTGCCCCTGAGCTACTTCCAGGCATATCCTATCACCCCCCCACATCTGGGTAACCTGGTCACCGAGAGTCATTCCCTGAAGCCCTTGCTAAATTTTTAACTGCACCAGATTTTGAAGGGTGGAAGATGCAGAGGTAGGGAACTTATGGAGAGAAGAGACACAGCCCCATTCTTGGGAAGTTCACATTCTGAAAGGAAACACTAAACCATCAACTGCTTGTCCTCTCAAGCAGGGAGCCTCTGATCTAAGGAACCCACTGCATATGAGTCACAAAACTGAGGAATAAATACCAATACCAAATTTAAAGGGGCAGAGGAGGGGTGGGACCTGGGAAAACTCAAGATGCATTTCTCAACACTTTAGGATTCAGCATATTACTTAACCTCATCACTGCTCACACACCTGGGCCAGAGGCCTGAGCACCCTCCACTCAACCACAGCTGCACTGATGTGGGGGAAAAACATCAATGTTGCTGGGAGGCCTCAAGTGAGGGAGTCCCTTTCTTGAGTGCCCAGGGGCTTGGAGCCTGGAGGTAGAGCGTTGCTTTCTACTACCTTCCACTTCTCTTAATAGTCCCTGACTCGTCTACACAGGGTACACCACATACATGGATAGCTTCATAACCTCTGGTTACTTCATGTAGTTTCCTCTTCAACTAAGCAGAAGTTCTTGGAGTTTGGTAAAGACCAGATTTTCTTTATACCCTGCAGTATGAAGAATGTCAAACACTTGTCACAGATAGGGCCATCATGGGTGCTGATTTTTACAAAAAAGATTTTCCACAAATAACCAAACACATGTCAAAACCATTCCATTGTTATTCTTCGCCCTATAGCTTGCATTTGACACCTATCTTTGTTGGCTCTCACCCAAAGGAATCTATTCCTATATCCAGCTCAGGCTGGGGACTGGGTCCCTATTCTTTGTTAAGAAGTACAAGCTCCACCTACTTGTGGCAATACTGAGGGTATATAGCCCAGGAATCTCTAGGGGCAGAGGGAGGGAGTGTCTCCCCACACTGGGCTGGCCCACTGATAAGGATCCTTCCCCTCTCTGTCTCCTAACAGATTCAGATTAATGATCGCTCATTCCTAATTGTCAAATTTCTTTTCCTTCATCCTGTGTCTAATCACCAGTGACAGAAACCATTACGCAAATGAGAGCAGACGACTTCCCCCAACTGTTCGCGTTGGTAAAAACCTTGTAATTTAGAGCTCTGATTTGTAGGGGAAGCTGGTCTCCCCCAGGCATCCTGGGCATCTGCTCAACTGATGCCCACAACAGCCCCTCCTCCATCCCCTGAATGCCAACCCCCCAACAAACATTTGACTTCTCAAGCAGTAGTTTTCTCTGCACCTGCTGGTATAAATACGGGAGTCTGCAATGTGGCTGACCTCTATATAGGCCCAAACCCCTATATTCCCTTGGTGTGTCTGCCTCCGTGTTGCTGGCTAGGATGGGGGTAAGCAACTACAGCAGAAATGTTTCTTCAGCTCCAAGCAGAATTTGAGCCTAACCAGCCTCTAACTTAGGTAAGTGAAGGGAAGACCCTCAATCTTTCCCCAGGGAGGAAGAAAGCAACAGCAGAACATGAATCAAGACTCTGTTCACCCCAAACCAGAGCTTTTCAATTCTTAGATGCAGAAGGCTGCTCAGAGGAGGTATGGGACAGAAACGCAATCAGATCTACTACCCAGACCCCCCCCCAGAATCTTTCAGCACTCCTAATATGGCTTCTCAGGCAGCTTTCCAGACATCTTCAGCTGGAGCCCACAAGCGCTTTCATCCTGCTGCATCTTCTGTACCCTTTTGAACTGAGTCTGCCTATAGATAATGCCCAGAGGGGTGAGAACTGAGGACAGGGCCCATGCTACAGGGAGAGAGTTAAGGAAGGAGAATCAACATAGTTTGGTAGAAAAGAAGGAGCAGGCTCGGCGCCTATAGCTCAACCGGCTAAGGCGCCAGCCATGTACACCTAAGGTGGCGGGTTCGAATCCCCAGCCCGGACCCGCCAAACAACAATGATGGCTGCAACCAAAAAATAGCCAGGCGTTGTGGCGGGCGCCTGTGGTCCCAGCTACTTGGGAGGCAGAGGCAGGAGACTCGCTTGAGCCCAGGAGTTGGAGGTTGCTGTGAGCTGTAATGCCACGGCACTCTACCCAGGGGGACAGCTTGAGGCTCTGTCTCAAAAAAAAAAAAAAAAAAAAAAAGAAAAGAAGGAGCAGAGAGCTTGCAGCCAAACAGCACTAGGTCAGAATCCTGATTGCCACTCATCACTTAATCTCTCTGAGCCCATTTTTTCATCTGTAAAGTGAGAATACCTACCTTGCAGGATAGTGAGGAAAAAGATAAAAGCACTAGGCACGTATTAAGTGTCTAAAAATCAAGGGTTGCTATTACCCAGGGATCGGGACCAATCCTGTGAAGGTTCCAAGGTCAGCCTTCCCCTCTTTCCCTCCCCTTCAGCTACCTTAGATCAGACCTGTGTAAGCACAGCACCCAGCAAGGACCAGCTGAGTGGCACACACCTCCCTGCCACACATCACCCATATCTTTGAGGGCTGAGCCGGGACTGGAGCAGACCTGCTGCAGAAAAGGTAATAATCTGCTACCTTTCCAAGTGTAACTGTGGCCAATCTATCCTCTGTCTGCCTTGTTTTCTTTGCTGCTTTCTTAAGGGATGGAAATGCACTGCAATCACATTTTCCAGCACTGACTGTATTGGATAGAGCTACACTTAAGAAGGGTATCATGTCTTTACACTCACACTGCATCAGACAAACCCAGATAGGGTACTAAAAATAAAACATTTCTTCCCAAATATGCACACACGTGTGCACACATATATACCTACATCCTCTCAGTTCATCAGTGCATCATAAACTGAGCTTTGGGGGTGAGAGCAATAGCTCTAGAAGTAAACTTTAGGCAAAACAAAACAAAACAAAACAAGGTGGAGGAAAAATAAAATAAAACCAAAGACTTAATGCCTCTTCCCTTCCAGAGAAGGGGATGGAGATGGGAGCGGAGGTATGTACACATAGGGCCACACCACCCAATCCCAGGCACCCCATTCCCACTGAACAGATGTAAAAAATGGCCCTTCAAGTTGTGCAATATGCAGCTGTCCGGCTGTACGCTGTATGCAGCCCTGAGGGGTTCCCGTGACTAGCAACTAACAGATAAGAAAATTCTACTTCCATACTCTATTGGTTGCCCTGACTATTGAGGGTGTTGCAGAATATTACAGTGGGGTCTGGCAGAGGCGCTGGCTTTAAATGGCAAGGGTACATTTTTGCTCTTGCCCTGAGGTGGATTTTAGGTAGTGAGTTAACTGCCTAAGCTTGACCCCTTTTCATCTACTCAGCCAGAAAGCTCAGCAGAAGTAGATGTGGCCTGGGCAGAGGGCATCATAGGGCCTAGAGGTTCTAGCCAGTCAGCCTCAGGCAGCTTGCAGTGAGACCTGACCGACGTATGATGGCTAAAATCCAAGTTAAAAAGCTTTAGGTCAGGTCAGGCAGTACTTCCTGTATTGCTCCACTGGACAAGGTAAGCAGTGGAGAACCTTAGTAAGCAGGGAAGCTGGCCAGTGTGGACACACACACACAAACACATGCACATACACACAGAGGTCTGCACCCCTAGAACCTAGAGATGACAAAGCTAGAAGTCCCTTGGTACGCAGCACCGGGGGAAGAGCTGGTGCTGAAAGAGAAACTATATGTGTCTTTAATTCAGAACTTACACACAATCCTTGGTTCTTATGTCTCAAGGTCCTTTCTACGTATGGCTTGAGCTTGTAGGTCCCAGTAGGAACTCTAATCCTCTCTCACAGGAAGGCTCTTTAGGCTCTCAAAGGCAAGCCTCCCTCTCTTTCTCCCCATTAGAGTCCCAGCAGCCATTCCCACCCAGCTTAGAGTTTGACTATGCAAAAACTGGATGGAGGCAGAAGGACCCAATGACAGACTATTTCTGGCCCTACAGCCCAAATGCAGTGGAGGGTCCAAGAGCAACTCCTCTCTCTCAGGCTGAGGCACTGAGGCTGCAAGGAGATAGGGCTGAGAGCCATAAGTGACACCTTGACCCAAAAGGTGGAAATGAGGAACAGATACACACATTCGTGTGCACACACACACATGCGTGCACACACATCCCAAGGTTAACAGACTAACACACACAGACATGATGATAACCAAAAGCTGGGACTCCACACACTGAATGTAGGACTTTGGGGTCGGGGGGGTGGGGTAGAAGGAAGGTGCTGGGGCACAAGAGGCAAGAGTAAGAAGTCCCTCCAAATGGGAGTGGAGTGCCAACTGCCCTGCCTCGCCCCAAACACCTGCCTCCAGGGCCATGGCAAGAGTCCAGTCCATTAAGTGCAGCGTGCAATACTAGCGCTTGGAGTCTCCTGTCCTCATCAATGAAGCAGTGTGGACGGGATAGCAGTCACCTGGCAGGAGGCCTTGACTCCTGGCAGGCTAGTTGTATCGGCCCTTGATCATTGTGTTCAATAAGGGCCCCACCTGTAAAGAGACAGGAGGAGCCAATCAGAACTGCCCTTTTTCTGGCCCTGGAGTTGGATAGGGTATATCTGGAGACATTCGATGCCCAGCCAAGAACAGGAGAAAAGTTTTCATTCAATCTTGTGAACTCTCAAATCAACTCTCTGCCTAAAGGTCAACCTAGTATTGTGGGGCATGGCCCTCTCCTTGGGGGTCCATCTCGTACTACTTTCCTTCTCATAACATCCTGTATGAAGGTCAACCCCGTATTGTGGGGCATTGCCTTCTCGTCAGAGGTCCATCTTGCACTACTTTCCATATCATAACATTCTATATCTTACTGTAAGAAGCACCAAACTGACAGAGAGTCAGAAGAGCTAACAATCCCCAAACACATGAGAGTGTTTCTCTAATATGCCTTAAGAATGTTAAATGCCTGCCAAAAAAACAAAAGAATGGGCAATGCCTGTAGCTCAAAGGAGTAGGACGCCAGCCCTATATGCTACAGGTGGTGGGTTCAAACCCAGCTCTGGCCAAAAACTGCAAAAAAAAAAAAGTTAAATGCCTGGCAGTTGCCTGTGGCTCAAGTGGCTAGGGTGCCAGCCATATACACAGGAGCTGGCAGGTTCGAATCCAGCCTGGGCCTGCCAAACAACAATGACAACTACAACCAAAAAATAGCTGAGCGTTGTGGCAGGCACCTGTAGTCCCACCTACTTGGGAGGCTGAGGCAAGAGAATCGCTTAAGCCCAAGAGTTTGGAGTTGCTGTGAACTGTGACACCACAGCACTATACTGAGGGTGATGGCTTGAAACTGTCTCAAAAAAAAAAAAAAAAAAGTTAAATGCCTAGCACTCTGTGAGGCTGAGGTGAGAGGATCACTTGAACTCAGTTCAAGATCTGCCTGAATAAAAAAGAATAAAAAACAAAAACAAAAAAAGATTTGCCTGAATAAAGTGAGATACCAGCTCCACTAAAAATAGAAAAATTAGCTTGATGTGGACCCAGCTACTTGAAAGGCTGCGGCAGGAGTCTGAGGTTGCTGTGAGCTATGCTGAGGTCCTCATACTCTAGCCTGGGTGACAGGGAAAAAAAATGTTAGGCTAGCACAGTGGCTCACGCCTATCATCCTAGCATTCTGGGAGGCTGAGGCAGATAGATTGAGCACAGGAGCTCAAGACCAGCCTAAGCAAGAGTGAGACCCCCATCTCTATTAAAAATTAAAAACTGAGGCAAGAAGATTCAGCCTAAAAATTTGAGGTTGTTGTGAACTATGATACCATGGCACTTTACCCAGGGTGACAAGACTCTGTCTCAAAAAAAAAAAGTTAAATGTCTCTCTATATCCTCAACAAAAAGGTAAAAAGGTCACCTACAATTGGGGCCAGTGCCACCTATCAAATCCACAGGTTTCTGCGGCTACTGACATTATCCACAGGAAAGAAGCAAGAACATTGCATACAAATTTACCCAATGGGCCAGTGGAATACCTGCATGGGAAGCAGGTCTCAATATTACCTAGAGCAGCCTTGGTACAGCTGGGAGAGTACAAGGAGATACTTTAGTGTTTGCTTCCCATTCTAGAAGAATCCCCTGAGGGGTCCCCAGCTGGCACACAAACCCCATGGGTAACATTACTACTAGCATGGAACAGATTATAACTGATCTACCAGTCAAGCCCAGCTCTCACCAGAAAACAAGAATTTTCTGAACATACTCATAACCTCTATGGGGAGAGAGGACACCAGATACTGAAACAGAGAAGCTATGAAGAATGTCATACCCATTCTGACTTTCCTTGGTCAACCAACCCACTGAGCCACTAGAGTACTTGGGACAGTCACATACCTCTTGTGGGTTCCCCAAGGCCTCTCCAAGCATCTTCTCAATGTTTCTCATTATGGCCACTTTCTGATGAGCTTTGAGAGGATATTCAATTCTCTTAGGGGTTGGAGCCCCCTGAAAAGGAAGCAGTCCCTCAGGAAATGCCTATAGCAGCGGACTTCACTATCTTTCCGCTATTCCTAGTACCACCCTCCTCCTTCTAAGAAACCCAATTCAATTCCTATCCTCCTTCATCTCCCCAAAGACCTAAGAATCACTTCCAGGGATAACCAACATCTCCCACCCCATCCAAAAATGTATTACATCTGTTGCCCAATTCTATCTGGGGGGAAAAATAATCCACCATATTCACCTTATACCAGAAGTTCACAGTGATGGTAATGCCCCCATTTAGTAAAGACTCTATATGATGCCACCTGCAAGAAAATAAATAGGCCCCTGTTTACCACTGATACGTTTCAGTGGGAGGGTTGAAAAATTAGGTAGAACCCAGATAAGGGAATCAATGAAGAAAATATTTGTGTGCTCATCCTGTAAAACATATAGGGTTAGAGGCAGCCAAGAACAGTTTCTCCAGGCCCACCCCTCTAGGATTTCTGGACTTGAAAACTGCCATCTTATCTTAGAGATAGGTCTGTTATTTCCCCCGTGTTCAGTATGCTCACATCTAAACATGCTAATGTTCCTACAGACCACATAATCCTCCCACAACTCAGAAGGGACACAGAGAAGGCTTTCCAGGGAATAGGAAAGCAAGCTCCCAAGAAGCCCCCAGCCTTACCCTCTCCTTACCAGTACATTGGGATGTAAAGAACATCACCAGGGCCAACCACTGTTTCATAACCAACCACGTTTTGGAAATTAGGGAACCTCTCATAGTCAGGATTGTCAAAGTCTACCTAAGAGATTCAAGAGAAAGAAAAAAATCAATCAATCACCAAATCTTTACCAGTAACTACTATGTGCTAGTTTAGCAGTTTAAAAAGAAAGATATCAGAATTTATATCTAGCAGAAGATACAGTGCACATTAAACTCATTCTGAGAAAACAATGAATTAGGACTTAACCATCACCCAAACCTTCAGAAACTTTCTCCCAAAGTCATATTCTAATTAGCAAAGATTTCTACTGTAGTAGTTAGGCAGCTTTCTTGTCAGGAAAGGCCACAAAGCCAATGATGTACTTTATTTAGATTCAAGACATAAATAACTTACCTCAATTATATTTACCTTTCTCCATATCAAAAAGGAAAGTATCCATGACAGAAGCAACTGATGACTGACTCCAATGGAGACATATATTTTATTCCATGAACTTTTAAAGCTAATCAAACACAGAGTAACTGGAGTCTACCAGCACTGATGAAGGGGTCTGCCCCAAGAATTAGCTCTACGGGGCTGCTCATACTTGCAAACATCTGGGGACCACAAGACCTTATAACATGTGAGCCACACTGTGAACTTATCCTCTGGGTTTGTCTGTATGACAAAGCCAGCCTGTACTCCAAAACTAACACATTACTACAGGGAAGGGGAAAGGCATTCCTAGAACCTCCAGACCACACAAGCTTACCTGGCTCTGCCTGTCACACGGGTGATGGACAGGATATGGGTAGAGGCACTCAAACTGATCTGGAGGGAATAGGATGCATCGCTTGTGGCCTTTTATCTGAGCAAAGAAGTTCTGTTGCTCATCATAGTGAGCAGGTGTCACATTTCCTGTTAAGAAGAAAGACATTTTCTTATCCAGAGTAGTGGCTCTATGGCACAAGCTAGAATACAGAACCCAGTGCTGGAGAAAAACTAAGCCTGTCCTCCTAACTAACAGTTCCCAATCAAAATTCCAGGCAGAAACAGAGAAATTGCAATCACAACTCTCAGCAAATTAGGTGTTACGTTTTAATGGGTAATAAGTCTAGCAAATATCACTGGTTAAAGGACCACCGTTAGCTGTGAAAGTAAACTTTCCTACATGATGGCAGCTCCCTTATTGGGGGCAAGTGCGCATCAACATCATGCAAGTCCAGCAGGGTAATGGGCTGCACATACTTGTACTCTTCCTGACCATGGCAAGAATTTAAAGGAAGCAGAACAGTTAGAAATGACAGAAATGACTGCTGTCAACAACACATGTATCATTTGCTTTCAAGAGTCATCCTAAGCCGAGCACTGTGGCTCATGCCTGTAATCCTAGCACTCTGGGAGGCTGAGGTGGATGGATTGTTTGAGCTCATTAGTTTGAGACCAGCCTGAGCAAAAGCAAGAAAAAACTGAGGCAAGAGGATCACTTGAGCCCGAGTTGTTTTAAGCTATGACACCACAGTACTCTACCCAAGACGACAGCTGGAAACTCTGCCTCAAAAAAAAAAAAAAAGGGTTAACCAGTCATCTTAAGTCCATGATTATGTACTTGCTTTGGGTGTGACTCTTTTGGAGCTGAAAGGTTCTCAACCTTTGTTCCCACTTCAACACACCTGTGAGATGCAACACTTCTCAGAGTAACACTGGGGCTCACTGATTCTTACTGGAGAGAAGCATATCAGATTCTGAAGAGATGTGTATATAATTTAAACAAGATACATTATTTACAATGCCACCTTGAATTAGCCCTAGGGTATGTATGTTCTATCTACTCCTTTATAACTAGGACCATGTCTGTTGCTTGCCCTTTACATAATCCTTGATTTGAATGCACATCTCTGTAGGGTATAAAGTTTAGAAAACATTTACCAACTCTGCCTGGGTATGCTAAGACAACTGCCTTCTTAAATCCTGAGAGTCCATGTACATCCTCAAAAGAGAGTTGCTCTCTCACTGCCACCTGAAGGAACCATTTCCCTGCACCCTACCACAGGGAAGGAAGGCAACAGAAAAACTGACTCAAGTAAATTAGAGTTGGCTCCTTCCTGACAGATCAATCAAGAGCTGGTTTCAAACGGGAAGATGGGTGTCAATTTATAAGCTGCACTGCTGAAAGGAATTAAAGAAAAGCCCAAAGAGCTCAATAATGAATGACAATAAATAATAACTTTGCTTCATTGTTCAACCCAGTTTACTCATCTAAGTACCTACCATGGGCCAGGCACTTAGTACCAGAAATAAAAGTTAAGTGAGACAATAGCCCTAGCCCATAAGTAGCTCTCCTCCACACTAGAATTTAAAACTTCTCTCTCTTTTTCTTTTTGAGACAGAGTCTCACTATGTCACTCTCAGTAGAGTGCCCTAGCGTCACTGCTCACAGCAACCTCAAACTCTTGGGCTCAAATGATTCTCTTGCCTCAGTCTCCCAAGCAGCCTGGGACTGCAGGCGCCTGCCACAATGTCCAACTATTATTTTGTTATAGCTGTCATTGCTGTTTACAGTCCCAGGCCAGGTTGGAACCCGCCAGCCCCAGTGTATGTGGCCAGTGCCCTAACCACTAAGCAATGGGCGCCAAGCCAAGACTTTTCTTCTTATTCATAAGAAAAAAACAAAAGAATACATTCACATATTTGCTTGTGTATGAGTACACTGCTAGCAGGAAACACAGTAATTAATAATATGCAATACCTCCAAGGAGAAAAGGAGGCTGGGAGACAGGAGTGGAAAAGAGATTATCTACATTTTTTGAATTAAATTCCATGAATGTATTATTTATTTAAAAAGATAAGGTTATGGCTCAGTGCCCATGGCACAGTGGTTACGGTGCCAGCCATATACAATTTCCCTGGGGCCAGCTAAACAACAATGACAACTGCCACAAAAGAAAAATAGCCAGGCGTTGTGGTGGGCACCCGTAGTCCCAGCTACTTGGGAGGCTGAGGCAAGAGAATCACTTAAGCCCAAGAGTTAGAGGTTGCTGTGAGCTGTGACTTCACAGCACTCTACTGAGGGCAATATAGTGAGACTCTGTCTCAAAAAAAATAATAGAAAATAAAAAAAAATAAAGATAAGGTTAGGGAGAGGTGGCTCAAGCCTGTACACTCTACTAAGGGCAATATAGTGAGACTCTGGAGGTTGCTGTGAGCTGTGAAGCCACGGCACTCTATCCAGGGGGATAGCTTGAGGCTCTGTCTCAAAAAAAAAAAAAAAGAAAAAAAAGGTAAGGTTAGGGAGAGGTGGCTCAAGCCTGTAGTCCCAGCAATTTGGGAGGCCAAGGTTGGAGGCTAGCTTGAGGTGGGGAAATTCAAGACAACCCTGAGCAACATAGCAAGAACCAATCTCTACAAAAAATTTTAAAATTAGCTGGGTGTAGTGGTGTGCACATGTAATCTAACTACTTGGGAGGTTAAGGTGGGAAGATAAACTAAGCCCAGGAGTTCAAGGTTGCAGCAAACAGTGAGCTATGATTACACCACTGCACTCCAACCTGGGGGACAGAGTGTGACCTTTTTAAAATAAGTACATAGGCCAGGTATGGTAGGTCATGTCAGTAATCCCAGCACTCTGGGAGGCTGAGGCAGGAGGATCACTTGAGGTCAGGTATCTGAAACCAGCTTGAGCAAGACTGAGATCCTGTCCCTACTAAAAATAGAAGAAATTAGCTGGGTATGGTGGCATACATCTGTAATCCCAGACTCTAGAAGCTGAGACGGAAGGATTGCTTGAACCCAAGAGTTGAAGGCTGCAGTAAGCTATGATGACACCACTGTACTCTCTAGCCTGGGCCTCTCTTGAGCCAGTGACACTCTG